AGTGTCTGAGTGTCGAGTGTCGAGTGTCGAGTGTCGAGTTTCGAGTGTCGAGTGTCTAGTGTCGAGTGTCTAGTGTCTAGTGTCTGAGTGTCGAGTGTCTGAGTGTCTAGTGTCTGGTGTTTAGTGTCTGAGTGTCGAGTGTCGAGTGTCTAGTGTCTGAGTGTCTAGTGTCCGAGTGTCTAGTGTCTGAGTGTCTTGTATCCGAGTGTCTAGTGTCTGTGTGTCTGTGTGTCTAGGGTCTGGGTGTCTGAGTGTCTAGTGTCTGAGGGTCTAGCGTCTGAGTGTCTTGTGTCCGAGTGTCTAGTGTCTGGGTGTCTCAGTGTAGTCCTATTATTTGATACCCATATTGTGGTGGTTGTGGAAAAATATGTACCTAGTCCGCCATATTGGAACGGCGTCCATCTTGAATTTTAAATTTTGACATAATCATCGTGTTTTACTAGTGTAGCCCTTTCATTTGATACCCATATTGCGGGGGTTAAGGAAAAATATGTAATCCGCCATTTTGTATCGGCGGCCATCTTAGATTTATAATGTTATTGATTTTATTATATTGTATTGTCATCTAAATTAAATGTGTGTACCAAATTTCAGATCAATCTGACAACGGGAAGGTGCTTAAATTCCAATTTCTAATTTTGACCCAAATAAATAAATACCGTACAGGTCGAGCTAAATAAAACCGTTTAAAAATATATAGAGACACGTTGTAGAGGGAGGGGTAAAAGTGGGTAAATCATATTCAGCAGGATCGAATTACTGTAAAAATTACGGGTGCCTGTACTGTAAAAATTATGTCTTATCTTTCCACTGGTCTACTAACTAGAGTTTTGAATAGCCTTTTCAATACTTAACGATTTTGTGTTAGATTCTGACATTCGAATCAATTTTTTACGAGGTCCTGTAGAATACATAAAGCAAATTGATAACTCCATTCATTTCTCAGATACAGATACTTTTGAACCTTCGCGTTGTTTAAACATATTTTAAATACCAATCGGGACTTAATGCAATGAAATAACCTCTGCAAGTAAATAGTACCATACATGTTTCTTTATTGCCGACGATTACGTAAAATTGCGTTAAATCCCGATTGTGTATTTAAAATAGGTACGTGTACATCAATCAGACTAATTGTCTAAACTGAACTAACATGTCTGTGACCCTTTTAACTAGTGTGCACAAACACATCGAGATAAGTTTATTTACTTTATTTATTTCTTAGCTTATCTGATAATAAGTTCTGAGCACGATGCAATACTTATGGGAATCTGCATACGAGTAGTTTGTTTAACTTGAAGAATAAATAGTCCAGAGAATATTTTGTTGGTGGTGCAGGAAAAGAAGCGCATATACATACATATAATATGCAGAACATTATTGCATGATATTTATAAAGCATTTTAAAACGATTTTATTCAAAATATTTTTAATCACTTAGGTGGGAGAGTGTTTTTAGTAATGGGTTCATTAGGACGTTACGCTCCATTAGTAACTATAACTCGTTTATTTTGCTAGGTAGACCTTCACGTGGTATTCCCATGACATTTTAGCCATGATGGTCACTTCCTGATTAATTTATTACAAAAGGTTAACTTACCAGAAAGGAATAATAGGTAAAGATTATCATCTTTACCAATTATCTCTAGTATCTACTGGTAGCTAGTGTAAACCAATAGAGCCGGTGACTTCACTATTATATTTGCATCCATAAAAAACATTGATGATATATTATTGAGAAATAAATAGACGTAACTATTTACTTTACAAATATTATACAATGGAGATATTAAATATGGCGGATGGTTTGGTTTACATTGTTCACTTCATTATTGTGCAATGTTACGCCGATAAGTTCGCCGTAGGGAAGCGAAATTACGCGCTTCATGTACGTATATCATATTTACTCGTAATATAAATTAGAGATTCGTCACGCGAAACGTTTCTGTAACATGAGGTAATTTCTAGACAATATACCTACGTATATAATATTTTATATGTATTATATAGGTACATAAGAAGCTGTATATAAACATTAACGCGATGTGTGTGTGATTAATTCAGGCACACAACTGGTGATTTACTAAGCTAGCATTCTATCGCCCGCTCGTCAATATGTTCGTTGCACTTCACACGCTTGTAATGAAAAGCATTCAAATTAAATTACAAGATGTCATAAAGTCCTCATTACACTGTAATTTATTTTGTCGCGTACAGTGCGATTTCAGGTTTCCTTGTGTTGTGGAATTAGTTCCTTGCTGAAGTTATCTGCAGCATGAGGTTCTTTAAAAAGACGCTTTTTATTTTACATATTTTTTTAAAGTTAGTAACTTTCTGATGTTGCGTTAATTCATAGGTTATTGTAACAGTTTATTATCAAACGGGTTGTGTGCTCAAACGCATTGTTAGTGGTATGAAAGAATGTCCTTGTAGTGAGAACAGGAGATATAATTCCTTTTTTTATCCTTTAGCAGGTTAATTTTTTAAATTAAAATGACTGAGAATATATTGTTTCGCCCATGATACCCCCCATGTGTTGCCATTCCTGAGGACTCAGGTGTTATTTCTCTGTACTCTGTAAATTAATTGCCATTGTTTTTGCTGAACTATCAAATTAAAATTGTAATTTTAGAGATAATTTTACGTATTGACACTACATAATAAGAAGCAATGTCTCTCATATTATTAATTTAATCTAATGATTGTAGATGCATCCAATGAGTATGAAGCCAATGGGTGCAATGTACACGGCGTGCGATGAGGACTTTACACCCATTGTGGAAATAATGCCCAGGCAGAAAGTGGTGGTGAGTCGCAGAGGGAGGGCGCTACTGTGTGGCCTACTGCGACGTATTCGACGTATCCAAGGCACAGGCGGGCCACGAGATCAAATACAACAAATGAATGGACAACCACTTATGAGACAAAATCAGACAAAAAATATATTTTTTAAAGAGCTTATAAACAAGTCTTTTTGAATAAAGACTATTTCTATTGTATTTTACGTATATTTCTTTAAATACTAACATAAACTTTCATAGAGGCTAATATTGGTAAATATCAGGCTATACTCGTAAGTAGGTGGAGTATGAATATTAGTATGCTTAGTTAATCCTTAAATTTTATATCAGAACAGACACTAGGGCATGAAATAAAAAAAAATAAAATAGTAGGGAGCGAATTGGGAAACTGTCAAACTCCATTAATTGGTAAATATTAATAAATAAATATGTTTATATACTAAAAACTAAACATACTGCCATTCCAAGGTATAGGAAATAGAAAGGAAGTATATCTAACAACTATCATTAGACAAGTAAGAAAAAACTACCAGAATATATTATAATAATGTATGCATGTATGTATATGTCTATAAAATTAAAATAGTTTGAAATATTTTATTATGACTGAAATGTACAGTTTAAATGTTAACAATTTTAGGACCAAAATGCCCTCAAGGTAAGGCCTGTCAAATTTCACAAAAATTTATATATTCATAAGATTTTAGCACATAATTTTTCCTCAATATACTGTCATATTTTATTATTAATTTCCAGCGGGTCAATACCTGGGTTAGATGAGAAACAATTTTCATGTCGTATGAACCAAACTTGTGTATTTTTGGTTTTATGCGCTGGCACTGAATCTTGTTGAAACACCCAGTATTTGTTTTGAAACATTGTTTCATCAACACTCTCTCAAGGAAGATTATTCCTTAAAACTGTATCATCTTGGTAGACTTTTGCTTAGGTCGGGGTTTCTTTTTTATAAAAAAATAAAAACTGCTTTAACCCTTTGATTAATATAACCCTTTGAGCAGTGTTTCTGTCATATTCCGAAGAATATGACGCTTCCAACGAAAGTATTACGGAGCACGTATATGTCCTCATTGTACACTCGTAATGACAGTGCTGACTTCTTGGCTAGTGTATGCGTAGTGTACACTCTGACACTTTGACGGTGCTACTTCTGCTTGATATTATATTTTTTTCATCTGAAAACAGATTTCACGGTGCTTGTTTTTAACGTACCGCTTTAACAAAACTCGATTTTTTTTGACACGCAGCTACATTAATGAGTAATTAAAAATGATCTTTTTTTTGGAAGACCCGAAGTCCAGGGTGCTTAAACAGTATCTTCTTAATGGTATTTTTCTTAATTCCATTTGCAATGCCATCAACTTCTGTTTTCTAACAGGATTTTTTCTAGTTCGAGCTTTATTTGTCTCAATGTAATAGTCAACTACAGCTGGGGTCCGAATACATCTCACTGTATCGTTGAATTGTGAAATAAACACATCTACGCGTCGCATTTAACTTTTTTAGAAGTTGAAATACGAGTACTGTGGCAAGAGAATGAGCATAATGGTGTAATACAACGACAGTCATGCAGTTTTCTTTCCGAGTCCACCACATCGTGAGTACTACAGAAAATTCTAGACTTGCGATGTTTTTAAAAACTGTAATTTAATTCGATTGCAAAGAATTTTCAAAATTCCGTAGTTAAAAATTTTATCCATGTGATAGTGTTTATGCATCATCTAATTATTTGGAGTAATTTTTATCAAGATTGGTTTGCGCTTGATGAGGTCTCGCTCGCTATTTTGTAAACATTTATTCTCCATCGTTACTTACACGTTGTATGTCTACGGGAATACAGAAGCAAGAATAATATATAATATATTATTTGTCTTACATGGACTTTGTCTCATAAGTTTCCTTTTACAATATCCTGGGCGGGCCTGGTGATACATCATATTCTTATATCGACTGCATATGAATATCTAGAGAAATCTCTCTTCACAGAAGCATTGTTTTATAATGAGATCCTATTAATTTTATTTTATGTATTGTATGTCATTACAATCAAATTTTACGCTAATAATGCAAAACAAAACAGTCGAGCAAAACGAATGGTTATTTATTTGTTGAGAATGTTAAAATTATCGCGTTAAATTGTGAATACAACTTCACATCTCACTGCATGGAATATTTTAATGAGGCGTCTGTTGATATATTATATAAGAGCGTTGCAGTTTCTTCTGACTATTAATAATAATAGTTATAAATAACTATAAAGTTATCCCATTTACTCGCCGAGATGTTTGCACATGGAAACTCACTTTTTCTACTCCAGCTTGCACTCGTGCTAGTAACTTCAGTTAATTTGGTTGTAACTGAAGTCGGTTATAATAACTATTGTGCAACTGCCAATTATGGTGAGTATGACTAGATATGGCCTAAGACGAATTTTTTTTACTTTTAATTTTACAGGGTTGAAAATTGTGGAAAAGTAATATTTATAGAAATTTATAAAAATGTAAAAAATCTTACAAATATGGGGGCTGATAAATATCATTTGTGTATTCTAATATTATTGATAAAGTTTAAAAAATATAAAGAAACATATTTTTACTGTATAATTTTGTATAATTTGATATTGTAACATTTTTTTTATACAACTTAGAATAGTAAACAAGCTGACGGCCCACCTGATGGAAAGTGGTAACCGTCGCCTATAAACATGAGCAGTACCATGGACATAACAGAGTATACTGTTCCGCCCATGATACCCCCCATGCGTTGCCATTCCTGAGGACTCAGATGTTACTTCTCTATACCCTGTAAATTCACGCCATATCCCACCCTTCAAACCGAAACACAGCTATGCAAACAACTGCTTCACGGTTGAAACATGAATGGGACAGAGGTACCCAAGCAATCGACTTTTGTACAAAGTCTCCCTCTAGTAAGTCATAGTAACAGATGATTTGTTTTATAGATGAAACTGAAAAAATAGGATAATGCTTCCATAGATTAAGAGCAGTAGCTACAGTTCTGTACCATTATAGTAACGCAGCCGTTCATCTGAACGAATTTGTCAAATATTATGTCAAGAATGGTTACAACGGAATTCTAACTAAAACTGAATGATCGTATGTTACAGGAGACCGGCACGGACTACCGGTGCCATTACAACCAACCACGGTGCAGGCCGGGGTACGCGACGCGAGAGTTGCCGTAGACGCCGGGGTCAGTGACACATAATTATTGGATATTATTTATTACATAAAAAAAAGATACTGCGTCTTTCAGTTTAAATTAGTTTATTTGCTAATTCAATACAATGATACTGTTCTTTTTATGCAATTTAAACTAACAAATAAGTAAACGGTCTTACTTTAAAAATAACAATATTGATATTGACATCATATTTTTACCTGTAAAACAAAATACAGCTATACAAACATATCTGCTTAGTAGCAGCAATATAATGCGGCGAGAATGGAGAATATTAAACATAGAAATGATTGCAAGTTGATTAAAAATAAAGATGTATGTTTTGTCTAAATTCGCGATGTCAGATATAGGTAGGAAGTACACGACAACGAGTAGCTACCGCAACTTCTCTAACGCTTTCAACACCCGACAGCTGGCGCCGTTGTCGAGTTTTATGATACGGATATCTCAAATCAGAGAGCCCCGTAATTTCATTTCATATCTATATCCATACCGAAACTCAGTATGGAAGGAAACAAATTGGTGGTGGGATTCATAAATTAGATGTCAACGCCGGTACGCACGTACTTATTTAAATAATATAATCGTGTGGTTCCAGCATAGGATAGGTTACCCCTTCTTTTTTCGTGGGTGTCGTAAGAGCCGACAAAGGGACGGCGAGTAAGGATGGGCAACAGTGTCTGTCTAAAGTCTGACTGCGATTGCCAATCCGCCTGTCAAACGTGACAATTATTGGCAAACCCCCCAAGGGGGAGGCTTATGTTCAGCAGTGGACAGTTAAAGGCTGATATGATGATGATGAAGTGATCGCTAATGTGCACTTTTCATGTTGACAGATGGCGTGCGCACCGTCGAAACACCCCGTGGGCGTCTCGATAATAGTGTGCGACTACGACGTCTCGCCCGCGGTGTCGCTGCCTAACTTGTACACTGGCTACGTGCACCGCAGCGGCAATTTGCAAATCCTGGCGACAGTGGACACCACCGTCTACTGCAGTTACTGATGGCTCCCCACTTGCAGCTAATCATACTGTCATATGGCCGTCAGCTTATGGGTAATAAATGTAAGTTAAAAAAATATTTAAATTGTTACCGTTAACATGAGACACTTTTAAAATATAAATGTTAAAAAAGATATGGTGTCTTTTATTTCAATAACCGGTTATTTTTAAACGATACCTCGGTATACCCTGTGTGACCCTAAAGAAACTTTCTTTCTCTTTTTTTAGTGAGGTACCACTTTTTATCTCAAAAGAATCTCGTTTTCATTACTAGCTTTCACCCGCTATCTCGTCCGCGTGACTGGAATATGTTTATTGATTGAGTATAAAAAGAAGGCTATATTCTTCTCCATTTAATATAATACGTATATACTAAGTCTCATAATGCTTGCTTAAGCCATTAAAGCGCTATAAGGTAATAATAAAACAAACTCACTTTCACATTTATAATATTAGTGTGGATATAAATATTTTTACAACATTCTAGTCCTCATAGTGCAAACGGTAATCAAAGAGAAAAAAAGATGTTAATTTGAATGAAAAAAGGAACGTATCATATATGTGAGACAGATCCTTACTGATGTAGATCATACGTTATTGAGGAGTAAGTTAAAGAAAATACGTTTGGTTAGTTGGTCCACTGTGACGAAGAATGCAAAGCGTAATTGATAAGCGTTCTCTAAGAGTTATTAGGATGGTTTCCAGAAGAACTGCGTAGGGGTCGACATGTTATTTTTTATATGGGTGAGAATAGAATGATAAACCCGCCTGCACTATCGGTATACGCTGGTGGAGCACTAGTGAGGGACGATAGGCGAGTATGAAAGTAGGTCAGTTAGCCCATTGTGACGGATCCAACAAGAATTAATCACGATGGTTTCCAGGGGGAACCGCGTGGAGATCGACCTGTCAGGTATTGCTGGTAATGGTGATTAACGTCCCCATTACTAACAATCCCTCTGCCTCTGGTCGACAGGAAGTGTATATATTACTGGCACCGGTAGATCTTATTACTACTGTGCGTTAGATCCGCCGTACTGGCCAGGCGACTTTTTATTATCTTTCATAAGTTATGAAAAGTAAATTAAGATTGAAGTATGCGATTTACTATACATTATATTGCACTTGTATACCAACTCCAATCATCGCTGCACAGAACATTTACTTATCACACATTATTACTTCAATTAAATTCGAATGTGAAATTATTTCTGATTCAGCGCGCTTTGGATTTTTATGTATTCATTGTTACGGTGTGTGCCTTACAATATATTATTTTCTGCATATTATCTCCTGATTACCAAGTCAGCAATATAAAAGTAGTACCTCAATTATATTCGTCGTAGAGTTGTTTTTTTATAATTTTATTATTTCGTTTATAATGATTTCTTTTCAATTCTGTAGGATTGTCGTGTTCAGAGGAGATATATGGCAAGTATATTATAATCATAAAAAAGCTTTATATCGTCAAATCATTTAGAAATTAGATTTGATAATTCATATAGCTGATGATAAAGTGATGCTAATAGGATTTGATTTTACTTCATTTGCTGCCACTTAGAGCTCTTGAGAGAAAGATTCCAGCCTGCTGACTACGCTAGGCAAGCGGCCTAGTGTGGGGCCTAGTTTTATCGCGAAGTTTTTTGTACCCACAGTTGCATCTTAATACAACATCCTACGGATGAGAAGGAAGTTGCATTTTTACTCCATCACCGTGCATATGGAGAGCAAATAGGGTATAGTACTATGCGTATGAGGTATATATTCGATTCCTTGAATTAAATGGATAGTTTCTGAATTGATTGTTTTGTGTTGCGCTTCCAGATTTTTTGTTTTGTAGATACTCATAATATCTTGGCTAGTGGAGTGCCTATAGCTGTAATAATATTTTTTGTAGGCTCCAGTTGTAACAGGCTTGAAACAAATAAGTAATCGTGCAAGTTAAGTGTGAGCACAACGTGGAAACTGTAAAAAGTTTTATGAAACTGTTTCCAATTTCTGCAAAGAACGCCGCTCTGTAGCACGTTGGCCTGCATCGCTGGGAAGTATTTTAATGAGCGATGCAACTGAAGAGCTCTCGTAATAATATGCAGAAAATACAGAAATACAAATATCATGACGAAAAAGAAAAATTTATTTGTGCCTCGAAACAATGGCTGGTGAAGCGCATCCTAGCTTTTTAACTTGTCACAAAAAGACCACGTAGCTACGACTATTTCGCTAGTACCTCGCATCTTCTGCACGGCGGGACTCGAACTGATACTTAGCCGAAGCGTCAATGAATATTTAATTTGGTAGAATAAAAGATTCTCGTTGCGCTGTGTGCTCACAACGAGGCGGTTGATTGCGTCCGGCATCACAATGCGCTATTGTCGGGCACATTTTGAAAAAGAGAAATAAATACGAGTACAAAAGACGATGTTTTCTTGTTATAATGAGGACAGCGCGGGAAGCAAATAATTTTATGACGCTCGCTGCATTTTGCAGACGGCGCGGAGTGGTGCGGCGCGACGACGAGGTGCCTGCACCATTCCTATTATATTTTTTGTGAATTGCGAAACCAAATGTATCACATTAACAGAGAGTAGAGATGTTGTATAATCTTCTTTTATACTCGACACATTACATTTTTTACTTTAATATCTTTAGTTATAATTCTATATATTAAGTATGCATAACAAGAAACAATTTAACTAAGTACAGTATCGTTCTTTTATACCTCCAAGATGCCGTATCGATAAGAACGATTGGGCTGCTGATCTAGGAAAGTGTACAACTTTTTTCACTGATAGTACTGACAGAATATTCAGCTTTCCATATATACTTTAATAGACAACTGGACGCGCCGAGTTTGTATATGAAGCTCAATATTTTTTTTAAACCATATTTCCTTATGGGAAATTTCCAACTTCAATGGTAGAATAGTTTGTAAAGAATGCTATTGATTTCGACTTATAAACAGTTATTACAGTGCGCCGACGGACACGCACGCCCACGCGTGACATGTGCGTGGAGCGTGGAGCGTGGAGCGTGGGTGGCGGCAGTCGCTAAGGGCGGTAGGTACAGTAGTGGAGGGCCGTTTTTCAAACCATTGTCTCGAATACGTCGGAACTTTTCAAAGGCCGCGCTTGTTACCCAGCGCGGAGCCAACACAGAACAGAAGGAAGTTATTAAAGCGCTCTAAACTCTACAACTTATGCGGGACTCTCGCCCGTAGTTTATCTTTACTGCCTGTAGTTTCGTTTCTTTGTGCTCGAGACGAAAGTTTATTGTACATAAACAGACGTATTTCAGTCGCTATAGACATGTATTTTTAGGCTTCTATTGTACATGTACATTGCGCGTAATAATAATCATCATTTCTCTCGGCTAAAAACGTGGCACTCCTCATAGGAGATTAATAATTACCATTATCATATCAGCTTTTGACTGTCCACTGCTGAACATAAGCCTCCCACTAGAGGTTTTGCCAGTAGTTGCCACGCTTGGCAGGCGGATTGGTAACAGCAGTTAGGTTTTAGAGAGGTACGCTGCTCTCCATCCCTCGCCCTCCCTTAGTCGCCTCTTATGACCGCCACCTACGGGAAAGGAAGTAGCGGCCTATTCTATGCTGGCTATACCACACTGGAATAGATTATTAGCGTACATTTATTTATTATAACTATTACTAGTCTTATAAATGAGAATATTATGTTTATTTATTTTCCGGTCCAAGTCACGGATAAAAAATAGTATTAAATATTTCTGAGCTACGCTGGCTATGCGCTCTGCCTTAAAATACTTAAGTTGTTCTTCTGTAACGATGACGTTCATTGTTCGTCTAGAAATTGTAGAGATATAAATTTGTTGTACAATTTTTATACTCCGTCACCGCAGGACTAATGAAATGATTTAAATATATAAAAAAAAAAAAAAATTAGGACTCATCGTTTTTACTAAATCAAATAAATCAGAAAAAAATAGTATTCACAAAAGTTTGTTATGCAGTAGCGCGGCCCGCGTCCTATATCACGGGTTTATTGTTGATAGTTGCTCCGCGGCGTGCAATATCAGTGCGTGCAGTGTGCAGTGTGCATTGTCGTATTGTGCATTCGGCGGCATATATCACGTGTCGAGAACAAAAAGCTCACGCATTGTGTTGATAGCGGCCGCGGCCGCGGCGGCGGAGCACAATGGGTCTAGGTATTAGAACAAACGCTGAATAGCAAGTGCACCCGGGAACTAAACACGCCGGCCGAGACTTCGCAGTGCCGTGCTCTGTTCTAGCTTTAGAGTTAAACTTTAAATTGCATGAACTTTATGTGGGCTTAGTAGTAGTTTGCGACAAAAAATAGGAGTTAAAGATAAACCGGCATATATTTAACTTCTATTTTTTTAAACTTGTAAATTATACAAAATATATTTTTTTATATATCAGCCGTTAACTGTCCACTGCTGGGCATAGGTCTTTCCCATACGGGAGGTTGTCTGTAGTTGCCACTCTTGGCAGGTGGGTTGTCAGCCGCAGTTAGACTTTTAGTGATGTTTTAAGCGGAACGCTTCTGTCCGTCCCTCGATCATTAAGTTCGCTTAGATCTCTTACAACACTCACTGGAAAGGAACGGGTGATCCATTCTGTGCCGTGATTATACGGCAATAGCATTATATGTAGTAAAACATTTTTTTTTATGAGTGAAAATGGACTGGTAACACCGCCTGCGCTATCGGTATACACTGGCGGGGCACCAGTAAAGAATAAGGTAAGGATGAAAACAGGTCAGTTAGCCCATCGTGACAAATTCTATGATAAATTAATCACGATGGTTACCAGGGGGAACCGTGTGGAGGTCGACCTGATAGGTTATATTGCTAGCAATGAAGCTGTTAGACCCTATTACTAACAATCCCTTTCCCCCCTAGTAAGATATATTAAAGTGAGTTGTTTATAAACATAAATGTTTGTAATAGACCTGCATGAATAAATTTATTTTGGATAATGATTGAATAATAAACTATTGCTATTGACTTCAAAAATCGAATAGCAACATTAATATGAAATCAACATAGAAATAAACTGTACAGATAAAAAAAATCAAACTCAGTTTACAGATTGAAAGAAAATGACGTGTGTTGTAGACACGTGCACGAAGAGGTT